CGGCCGCCGTGGAGGGTCAGATCAGGCAAGGCAATCTTGGGCTGGAACCGGGCAGTGAAAACACGCGTCTGGCTCGATCTGGTCTTATCCATTGGCGAATCATCGTGCAAGGCAGTCAGATCTCAACAATTTAGGCATTGTTAATGGTTGAGCCACACTGTTCGCCAAATCAAAGGCGCTCTCACGTCCAAGCAAAGCCGCTGCACTGCCTGCATCATGACATATGGCAACCTCTACCGATAACCTATGGCTCGACTCAGCGGTGGCCCACGAGACCGAGCTGCAGCTTCAGGCTTTCTTGAAATGTCATATGACAGGTCAAAGCGAGTTCCTGTCAGCGCTTCGTCCGCATTGCTTACATATGAGGAGAGTTGGTGCCACAGCGAATCACGTTTAGCTTGACGTATTGGACGCAGGCGAACCATCGAGCCTGGCGGCCCAATTTGAATGCCATTCTGCCTGATGCCACAAACGGCTTCTGTCGTACAGCTTGGCTTGGTGAACCTGCATGAGGCAACCTGTGGCAACAATCGTCAAACTTATGGAATTCCATTACGGGTCGGGCATTTCAGGCTGCACCGCCCGCATCCGACTTTGCGCACGTGTTCGTAAACTGTAGGATAGCAGTTTCCAGTTTTTCAGAGAGTGGCTGGCGTTCTTCATCCAATCAAGAGCCTTATGTGATCTTTTGGTGATACTTGGAGGGGCAAGAATGCAGAGACAGTGCTCCATGTCTAGTGGTGCTGTTCTTGGGTCTTGTGGGCAGAGAGCCGGGGGAATTTTGGCAGCAATGACCTCACGTAAGTAGGTAGCCTGAATTTTGATGATAATTGAATGCTAGAGCTTGACATGAATGCTTCATGCGTTCGAGGAAATCCTCGTATCAGATCAGTCTTTACCCAAGTACAATCCGCAAAGTCGAGTTCTAAGATCATCGCATGTAGCCTACTATAGTTCTGTGTCACGTGGAACCTACATCTAGAATCACCAAGGGACTTAGATGGGTCGTCTAGCCGTACATTGGTGGGCAGTTGCATGTAGCTACTCCCGTTTATCACATGTTTCTACAATTGTATTCAAACGAAGTATTTGCTGATTGTAGTCGTGGGGTAGCATTGGTAGTCTCAGAATATTGTGATGGTAGTATTCCAATCCGACCATAATCGAGGTCGCCTGTCTTGCACACTTCAAATCACCATCTTCGCTTAGACACGGCTCCTCCTCTTTTCAAGCTTCGTGGCGGTGACCAATATGATCTCTCCGTTATTTATCATATTTGTCAACTCGCCATTTTCAACTGAAATAGGTAAAAAGACTCTATCTCTATCTGCCACATCGACGATACCCCGCGCGTTTGGGTGGTCCTCGCAAATGATTTCCGGCGCCCGACCTGCTCCGACTTGCCTTTATCGGATCTTTATGCCTCTTATCACCCGGATGCTCGTGTCCGGCCCCCTCAGCCTAATAGCCACCAACCCCACCCCCATTCTCAATAGCATTATCAAGCAACTCACGAAAGCATCTTCCCCACCTCTGATAAATAAGGAATAGACTAAATCTTGGCCCAAAGCCATACCTCCGAAATACGGTCTTAAAGTAGCAGAGGCCATCAGACATGAAGGCGCGAGGGGAAACAGGATTAGAGATGCAGTACCCATAGTTTTCAGACTGTGATCCCAATCAAAGACTTTAGTGCAACAGTTCTTTGCGTTTTCTATACCAAGTATCCACATTTCATTGCATCTCTGCCCCAACGACATGTTGCGCTTCCTTGGACTCTCTTCAGCAACTAGCGATGCCAAGCCAGAGCCTTCACGAAGTCTTCCAGCTTCGTGGTACAGGTCCCCAGAACTCCATCAGCTCGAGAGAAGAGCAATTATATCGAGAAAGTGGATCCTGGTGACACATTCGCTACGCTTCAAGCAGGCGGGCGAGTTCGTCTCCTTCGTCTACGCCGACTTCCCTTTCTTTCTCGTCCAAGACCGCGACGGTAACATCAACGGCTTCCACAATGTGTGCCGCCACCGAGCATACCCTGTCGTCGAGAAGAAGTCCGGCAAGGCGAGCATTCTGAGCTGCAAGTACCACGGCTGGTCATATGGTTTCAAAGGCAATCTTGCCAAAGCGCCGAGATTCGATACGGTAACCGGCTTTGATAAGAGCCAAAATGGCCTTCTCCCTATCCACGTTCGCGTGGATACCGCTGGCTTCATCTGGGTTAACCTCCAAGCAGGCGAACCAGATGTCAAGTGGGAAGACGAGTTTGGCGGTGTCTACCAGAAGCCGCGGATGCAAAACTTCGACTTTTCCGGGGGCTACAAATACGACCACGTCTGGGATATGGAGCTAGAGGCCAACTGGAAAGCTGTCATTGAGAATTACAACGAGTGCTACCATTGCCCAACATCACACCCCTTGATTGCGGGAGTGTCGGACTTGACGAAGTATCAAGTGAAGCCAAGTGGGGGTTGCTTGGAGCACGAGATCATCAATAAGAAGGCTCAAGACGAAGAAGACGAGTTTCGACGTTCGATTACATTCTTTTACCCCTCGACTTCGGTCACAATCACGTAAGTCGCTTGGTGTGGAGAATCAAGTCGCGGCAATTACAAAAGAGCATAAATTGACGAATAGCGTAGTCAAAACTTCTTCTACATCCAGCGAATGATCCCGATCAGCGCGACCAAGACCCGAATCGAGAACGAGGTGTATCGCTCGCACAATTCCTCCGATGCTGAGTTCGCCGCCATCAATGCGTTCTACAAGCAGGTGCTAGAGGAGGACCGAGATTTGTGCATTGGCGCACAGGAAAACCTCAGTGCCGGGGTCTTCATTAGCGGCGAGCTACATCCAGAAAAAGAGAGGGTAAGACAGCGAATTCTTGATACTTTCCCGGTATTACAGACAGACACTAACGCATTCGCTCAGGGCCCCATTCATTTCCAAAATACGGTTAGAGAGGAGGTCATGAAGCACCGGCAAAGAGAACTCGAGCAAGGAGGCAGGGAAATTTGGCCAGCCACGCCAAATCTACTCGGGCAGACGCGCGCAGGGAAATTGAATGAAGACGAAGCTTTCTGCTCAGAACTCGAGAAAGCTAATTGCGGTGGTCGGGAGGAACTAGCCTGGTGAGCCATACGCTCTGCCGGTGCATGTGATGAGCAATATCGGGACGGCCTGGCTGTACGGAATACGATGTATGATGGCATATGGAACTTTCAGCGTTGGTTTAGTCTCATGGATTTCCTAGCATCTAGTTCTCCATTCTACCAAACGAAATTGAAGTCTAGCTCTCTACGACAACGCGTCTTTCCTCCGACTGGCGTGGTGACTTGCTTGTGGTGCAGGACTGATGATTGAGTGATAGTAGCGTGAGCATCGATGTGTGGGCATGTTGTTTAGGTTTTGCCGTTGCCTCTGGCAAAGCGTTGTGACCCTTGATCCCTTGGAAAATTGACTGAGACTTAGCCTCCAGCTTGGTAACCACAAGTTTGTATTGGATTTTGAACTGTAGTTCACTCGCCACATGACTCCAGAACGACTATTACCAAGAGTGGGGTTCGAAGCATGCATAGCATGGAGAACTACGGTTCCGACTGCTGAACTTCACAGCTCTCACCCAACCACTGATCCATCTTTACTGCGACGTATTTGCAAGGCCGGGCCACATGGCAACCAACATTCTTCTACTATTACCTCTGATTCTGCAAAGGAACTCTTCGCATAATTATGCATATGCAGGAGCTCTGAGCATTTGTTGGGGTCGTCGGAGCAGCTATCTTGGAGCAGATCTTATCTATCCGTAGCATGAGGGGAAAGTGGGTTTTCCGGCGGGGGAGAGATTGAGGCCGAGAACGGAGCACCATCCGCGGCGAGTAATCTACTTTCGTGCGACCAACTCTTATCAGTGAGTAAGGTAGTATCAATCTCGAGCTGTAGAACTTACTCTCGGGCGATGCCGTGAGACGGTGCAACCACACCAGATGCTATCATTGCACCCCACTCTTCAGAAGTCCAGTCTGGGCGAGCACGAGGACCCGAGACGCGAGGGGAGAGGGGTGGATGACCTTGAGGCTTACACGTCTTGAGTGAGGAGGCTTCAAAGCGTCCCATGGACCAACTTCAGCTATATCAGCAAAGATCTGTTGCGACAAAATTGGGATGCTGTAGAGACATTTGATACCAGCACTCACAAGCTTGAGGTCAGCCAACATCATACCATCAGACCAAGGCATTTTCAGAGACGATATTAACTTTGGTCTGGCAATCCTTAATCAAGACAAAATGGCAGCGCTCGAAATCCCAATCATTGACTTTTCTGGTGAGTCTACCAAGAACATCGTGCTGCAGCAGCCGAAAAGGGTTAGCCAAGTCCTAACAGCGATGTCCATTCCTAGGGTTCTACTCTGAGGACCCTCTTCAGAAACAAAAGGTCGTAGACCAAGTGCGCGACAGCTGCCTGTACAATGGCTTCTTCCAGATAGTAGGCCACTCGGTGCCTCTGGCGCAGCAGAAGGCCGCCATGAGCGGCGCCAAGAAGTTCTTTGCTATGCCTCTCGAAGAAAAGCAAAAGGTCGCCAAGGAGAACACAACGTGGAACCGCGGCTACGAGATGCTAAGGTCACAGATCCTCGAGGAGGGAACTCAACCAGAACTCAAGGAAGGGTTCTACATCGGTGCTGAGATCCCTGAGGACCACCCTTACTTCATCAACAAGAAGCTCAACAGCGGACCGAATCAGTGGCCCGAGGGTCTGGGTAGTGACTTGCAGAGCTTCAGGGATTCCTCGATGGAGTACTACTCTTCGGCTCTCAAACTTGCTTCGGATCTCATGCGGGTCATTGCACTATCATTGGACCTCGAGGAGACCTACTTTTCCAAGTTCATGGATGGAGCTGTGGCGACAATGAGACTTCTGCACTACCCGTCGCAACCCAAGGATGCGGACGAGAAGTTGACTCGCGGAATTGGTGCCCACACCGACTTCGGTGCCATAACTATGCTTCTTCAGGATGAGGTCGATGGTTTGCAGGTATGGGACAAGAAGAACGAGACATGGATCGACGTAAGTGGAACCCCCACCCCCCACTGCAGAGCACCACTCTTGACCGCTTCATAGCTCAATGATACTGACCAGCCACTTCTAGGTCCCACCAACTGAAGGTGCCTTTGTTGTGAACTTGGGTAACCTTATGGCAAGATGGACCAACGAATTGTACAAGAGCAACATTCACAGGGTCATCAACAAGTCTGGCCAGGAGCGATACTCCATCCCCGTCTTTGTCTCTGGCAACCCAGATTACCTGGTTGAATGCATCCCCACTTGCAAGTCGGCGACGCAGCCAGCCAAGTTTGGACCGGTCACAGTTGAGCAGGCAGTCTCTGCTTCGTATGCAGAGTCGTATGGAAGAGCACAATTGTACAAACAGGGTTTGGAGCACGCTACGGCTAACAAAGTCAAGGCTCAGGAAGCCCAACCGGCGCAGATTGCTGTTGCTTGAGGCGTCATTGGTAGGGGAGCATGTACACAATTTTTCAAAAGAATGTAGCAATGTGTGATTCTAAAAATTTGAGATGACAATCATTGATGGCAATGCTAAGAATGACTAAAGAAAGCATTATATCTAGTCCTGTTCCCCGAGTCAAGATACACCAAGCCTCTTGGCCAGCCAGTGAGAAAAGGTCACTGATTTCTGATCAACGAGCCGCCAGTGAAGGTCCCCGAGCACTATGATCGACAGCATGGCGACGACAAAAAGCGTGCCCCACGAAACAATCAAGCTATACCCGGCTGCCAGCATCTTAAGCTTCAGACCATAGCTAAGGAAATTCTTACCACAGCCCCAATGAACTAGATAGAAACTGAAACTGACTTCTCCCAGGTACAGTACCGGCTTCGTGTTGAGAACGTGCTGTAAGACAGGTAGGTTCTCCAATGATAGAACCAGGGCCACAGCACATGTGCCTTGGAAGAATTGATGCACTCCAAAGCCGAAAGTGTTGAAGCCAGCAAACCACGAATAGATAGGGGCTTGGGTGGCGTCGCCATGCATCGGCCAGCAGCCCAAGAAGATGATGGGCACCAGCATCAGCCATGATGTGACGGTGACAACCGTTCGAACCATTTTTGGTAACTCTGGTAGCTTCGCCCGGAAAAGTCGTAAATCGGCAATGAACATGCCTGCGATGAACAGACAGTTCGTTGCTCTCTGGAGGTTGAAGGAGTAGATGAGGAGTAGGACGGTCGCTGGCAACCGCACCATGGGTGACATTCTGATGAAAGCCATACAAGCCAGGAACACAAGCAGTGATCCTTGGTACTCAGCTGCCAAAGTCCAACCCTGGGGCATGACAGTGTTGGCCGAGCCGGAGGTAATGATAGTTATCAGTGTGGTCCAGACATAGTATACATGGCTCCAGAAGCCCTCGGCGACAGGCCCCATAGGTTCGGTGCTATTAAGGGCATAAAATGCGCTGAAGGGAACCAAGGCGGTAGAGACCGCGATGATAGGTATGGTCGGGAGGAAGAGTCGGAACGGACGCCGGAAAATGCTGGATGGGAAAGAGCTGATGGGGTTGGGCCCCTGTGCACCTTGTGCGCCTTGTGCTGCGTAAGACTTGCTCAGAGGCCCATATGTAAGAGCAAAGCCACTGATGACGAAGAAGACCGAGACCATGAATACTCCGCTATGTATGAGGCGAATGAACGGGAGCTGGACCACGTAGACGCTTTCTTCGCTATCGCCCCATGCGCGATGAATGAGCGGGTACTGCGTAATATCATTGTCAGTCAAATCGATCAAACCAGAGCTTCATACTTGTCAGGTATATGACTATTGGTGCTTGGGTCTGAGAAAATCTGGAAGGGCAGAAAGAAACCCTCGTCACTTACATCTCCGTCTATCGTATGTTGAAGGGCCACGATAAGCGATGCAATGCCTCGAAGGCCATTTAGATATGATGTTTTGTTTGGAGCTGGGATTATCGAGTTCTCCGTGGCGTGGCCAAAAATGCGAGCGATGTAGGATGGCACCAGCAACCAGAAGAAGGCCTTTGGACTCATAGGGCGCCAGCTGGTCGAAAGTCTTGCCAAGGGCGATGATCTCCCTGATGATTCTGCCATCGGCAGGTCTGTCGATGAGCCCGCTTCATTGCCTTGAAGCAAGCCGTAATGCGATTCTCCAGCCCGGACTCCGGAAAACCAATCCCGTACCCTTTCGAGCGGCTGCTTGAGCATGGGATGAGCCGCCTCCGGATCCTCAAGCTTCATGTTCTCCATCTTCGCTAAGTGGAAGATGAGTCAACAAAAGTAGAGACTAACTGGACCTTCTTGTTCTTGACTGCGTCCAAGGTAATGTTGAAACGGGGAATAAATACTGAGGATTAAAGACCCGAAAGGTGATGATAAGACTCGAAAGCGAGGCTTAAAGTATAAAGGTGACAAGAGTTTCCCAAGTTAGACACGGGGCGCAGGGTGCGCTTTCTGCATGCCACGATGTTTCACTTGAAGCTTCTCCAAATGCTAGGGGGTTTTACTGCCCTGCGCCACTTGTCTGAGTTGGAAAACTGTCGAGGGCCTCACACTCAAAGTTTCTCAGCCGTTATACCTTTTTAGGTCATTCTTTCGTATCTACTTGGAGCTTTATCGTCGCTCAAGGGAGAAGCCATCCTGGTCCGATCATCAGCCCCCAACTACTGGGGAATGCCCTCATTGAGACCTGATCTGATCAATTGGAAAAGCATATAATAGAGATACGCGCTTGTTAACTTTCGCATTCTCTGGATGTTCTCAACATGTTCGGACGGAATGTATACTTTCCTTGGGCATGCCAAGACGGCGACTTTCCGAGTGTCAGAAATGTGCGATTCCGGTGAGTGAGACCAACCCCGCGGGCACCGCGTGCACCATGTACCCGGTCACCTTTCCGACGACGGCAAATACAGACTTCCTGTCGTTTACTATTGGCCGATTGGGTTACACCGAAGTCGCGACAAAGCTGCCGACGGTCACACCAAACGTGGTGAATTTCCTAGTGTTGTTGTCGCGTCGTACACGGTACAGCCCTGATCAGAACGGAGAACGCAGAAGTCTTACATGTCTTACATGTCTTATTGAAGTGACTGCCATTGATGTGGAAGCACACGTCTTTGTCGCGTTCTTTTACCGATTCCATCTGACAGCTTCACAGATGGAAGGGATATCCCTCCATGTTCTAAGTTGAGTTCTTGCCTGGTACATTTTAAGCGTAACGGCAACAACCCGTGTAGAACTCTCATACAGCAATGGCCGGCGTTCGTGTGGGATTTTAGGGAAATCGGATTCCGAGGACAATGGAAGCTCCTCGAATATTTGAGGAGTCTATCAGGAACTGGAAACAGTTTGCGCCTATTTATACTTGAACTCGGCCAGTGCACACATCAGTGGTCAATTTTGATAACAATCTTCGAGAAATGCTTCTTCTCCTTCAATCGCGCATAAGCAGCCTTTGCCTCCGCGAGCTCAAAAATAGTGTCATCGACGACCGGCTTGACGTGCTTCTCCTCGATGAAACGAACCATATCTCGGAATTGTGCCCGACTTCCCAAGATCACACCTCTGACAATGCATGGACGCATGAGAGCAGCCAGCATGGGCACAACCTCGGCTTTGCCTCCGACCAAGCCTGCAGAGACAACCACACCGTTTGTATTCACTGCGGTGAGCGATTGAGAAAGTGAGTCGTTGCCGGCAACATCGACAACAATGTCGAAGCCAGCCTGATTCGGTGTGAAGTTCCTCGTCTTGACACCCCAGTCTTTGGGGTTTTCTCGATAGCTGATCGTGTGGCTCGCGCCGAGTGCCTTCAGCTTCTCCTCCTTTTCTGCGGACGAAGTCGTGGCGACAACAGTAGCCCCAGCAGCTACTGCCAGCTGAAGAGCGGCAATGCTCACACCGCCTGTTCCTTGGACGAGCACCCATGTATCGGAACGGGGTTCTCTGCCTTTGAGGCCAAAGAGTGCGTTCCATGCTGTGAGGCCACTGCAAGTCAAAGTTGCAGCTTCTGGCCAGCCGAGAGATCTGGGTACATGAACAAGCCCGCTTTCTGTGAATATGCCTTCTGATTGTAGAGTTCCATTGATGGTCTGGCCAAGACCTTCCACGATATCCTGGTAGATCGGCAATTCATCATCACCGCAACGCTCGGCATGCTTAGGAGCTAGGTGAGTGACGACGTGGTCACCGATCTTGAAAGCCGTTACGGAACTGCCAATCGCTTTGACAATGCCGGCACCATCAGAACCAGGCACGACATGTTGTCGAATCGCGCCGGCGGTGGCTGCCGTACCCTGTATGACTATTAGAACATGGATGCTCGCAGTGCTGAAGTTTACTTGCCTTCGCATCTGCGATTGCGAGCTCGCGATAGTTCAAGCTAGCACTGTGCAGCTCCACCAGAACCTCGTGAGCTGCCAACTTATCGGCCTGCGGTACGTCTTCCTCGTACTTGAGGCTTGTCTCAAAGCCGCTTTGGCCAGTCAAGATCCACCTGCGAGACATGGAGGGCTGGGGCTTTGATAATGGTGGAGAGAGGAGCTATGGCTTCCGAGCTGTGGTGCCTAAATTTCTAGGCGGAAGATATGTATGGATGCGAGATCTTTGCTGTACAAGTAGTGATAACGAGTGAGTTCCTCACTGGCCCCTCATCTTCGCCCTGAGCAGTTTTAACGGTTTTGCTAGCTGTGGGGGCCAACTCAGAAGAGATCCAGCTTTTGCGTAGTTGCAGCATCATGGTCCCATTTTCATCCGCTTTTTCGTCCGGATTTCGTCCGCTTTGGTCCGTATGTCCGTGCCAAGGCGTAAAATCGGGGCCGTGAAGCCGGTCCCGGGGCTCGGACGACTCGGGCCAACCCAAACGACTCGCGTTGAAATATTAGCCGGTATGGTCAAAGCATCCTTAGCATCCTTGGTCTACGTTAGGATGTTTGACGCAGTACGTCACTGACTTAAGGCCGAAATTTCGCGGCCAGTTGCCCCGGTCTTATTTCCGTCCCAAAGTTCGATCAAGGGTTTTGCGGCGGATCAGCAGGACGCCTTGCGTTATTAACAAGTCTATGGCTGTATAGTTCATCTTCCGAACCTGTCTCAAGCCCTTTCAGTTCCGAAACAGCTTGGATGTCAATGCAAACTCGATTAGCCTTTGGCCTTACTCGCTTTCTCCAACACAGCTTGGAAATGAGAGTTGTTTGATTGTCCCCGAGCCTAACACCAAGATATTCCGAATTCGCCCTGGTGACGTTGCTGTTACGAGTTCTCACTAAGATGATTCCCATATCAGCTCAATAGCATGTCCAGGAACTTTTGAGTTGAACCACTCGTCAACAATGATCCCATCCTTCATCAGCCCTGTTGTTCTAGCCCCACCCAGCACCCCAGATATACCTAGAGCTCTGACTGCCCAGAAGAGCTCACTTGAAGCAAGGTTTCGAGCAATACACTGCCGCGGCCCAAGTCCAAATGGAATGGCATCGCGCAGCATTTCCTCGCTAGGTTCAAGCCATCGTTCTGGCTGGAATTCATGCGGATTTGGGAAGATAGCGTCGTTGAAATGCAGGCTGAACGGTGCACATCCGATCCAAGTTCCGCCTGGGAACTCAAAAGTCGCAGCTTCTCCAGAAGGCAGCTCGGTCGTGAATGAGAATCCGCTGGGCGGCACAACGCGTGGAAGCCGAGTCGGGTTTGCCATGGACATCCGAAGACCCTCGCGCACCACGCCACGCAGATAGGGAAGAGTTTGCGGGTCAGCTTGCGCTGCCTCTGGCGATGCAAGCTCGTCTTTGAGCTTTTGATATGTCGAGGGCGACTTTGCCAAATGCCAGCAGATGGCACCAAAATTCATACCAGTACTGTCGGTACCGGCAAACATCAAATCCATACACTGAACAGCAGCTTCTTCTTTGCTGATGCCAGCTCGCAGTAGCCGAGCTTGGTACGTTTGATCTTTCTCTAGATCGGCCTCGGCGACGACCTGATCGCAGAACTTTGTCACGAGTTCCATCGACTCGTCAACCTTCTCATCCGGAAACACCTTCGGGAGAGCCCACTCGAAGGCATGAAAGATCCAATTGGGAAGCAAGAAGAATCTCCCAACTGCGACAAAGGTATCCACAAATTCGCTGGCAGAGAGCTTGCTTGAGTCGCTAGCGCTCCTGCTTGCCTCCAGCTCGGCAATACCGCCATATGTTTTGCCTAGGAGATACTCCGTCACTGCATCAAGAGCTAGACATCTGCCGATATTGAGCATGTTGACGGGTTTGCCTGCAGTTGCTTCGTGTCCGATATGCGCCATCAACCTGTCAACACAGGATCTCAGTATCTGGTCACCTTCCTTTCGAATAGACGCTGGGCTGAACATGCTGACAACGGCTTTTGATCTGACGGCCCTGTGCGCGGGATCTAGAGCCGAAAATATCGTCGGATGACCGCTAAAGTCGAAATTGCTATAGCATGCTGTTTTTAAGAATCCTCCCTTGTCGGAGTAGATCGGTGCAAGAGCCGCTCCGTCGCTTATGTCAACATCATTAGGACTGATTCGAACGACTGGACCATAAACCTTGTGCAAGGCTTCGACCGAGGTCGTTTCATCGCCTGCGTACGAGTGGTACCATAGCCATAATGGAGAGATTGTTGCTTTCCAAGGTCCCGGGATTTTGCGTAGTGGGTGGAGGAAGATGTTGTAGAAGACGTAAATGGAAAGCGTAGCCAATGGGGTAACGAGTGAGAGTTTGAGCGAGTTTTTGGCGAAAATGGCCAATAGGTCGGCGAAAAGACCCATTGCTTCGAAGTTGCGTTCCAGTCTAGGAACCCGAATGTCAATGAGAAATAGCGGCTTGAAGCAGGTCAACAGATGAGGATGACTATTATTTGTAAACTAAGTGCGATGATTCGTTGCATTGATGAGTCAGATACAGACGTCATGACAGTTGAAGAGACAATATGCAGGCGAAAAGCACGTGACGCTACTAGAGATAAGCATGCAGCTGAAGTGATTGAACTGCATTACAGACGTCTCAAAGAGGCAATAAAGATTCAAACACTACATCTGCCCTCATTTTGGTATCATCCATGACTTTGTTAATAATTCGCATCTTGTGTATGTGCAAGTTTGTATTAGAACGCTTCAATGGATACGTTACCGCTTCCCGCCAAATTCATGCACAATTCAAAGCTAATCACCTAAACTCGCGGAAAGTGGAAATGTCTTTCCATTCAAATTAAGCAGAAAAAAGTCAATCTACCACTTTGTCACGCCACCATCAACCAAGATATCGCTTCCCTGGCAGTATCTGTCCGAATTTTAGCACTTTAGTTGTACATCGGTGTCCATCAGAGATTCAACTCACTTGCTGGCATCGCTCGCCAAGAAGACGCAGGCTCCCTTGATATCGTCAGGCTCCGCTACCCTGCCATTCATAATCTCATCCTTCCACCCCTCAAGAAGATCAGGAAAGGGAGCCGTCATTTCTGTCCGCACATAGCCAGGCGAGATGGAGTTGACTCGGATTCCATACTTGTTCAGCTCGGCAGCAATCGGAGCGACCATCGCTCGTACTGCTCCCTTTGTGCCGCAGTATGCAGTAGACCGTTGGGAGCGGATGGCCATGTACGATGCGATACTTGCAACAAAGATTATGCTTCCGCACTTAGTGCCGTTGGCAATCATTGCCTTGGCGGCCATCTTGGCTGAAAAGTAGAGGCCCTTACAGTTGACGCCATACAGTCTGTCAAAGTCTGCCTCTTCGGTGTCAAGGAATTCAACGTTTTTGTTCACACCGGCGCAAGCGACGAAAATGTCGAGCTTGCCATCAAAGTCGGCTGCCACAGCTGCGAAAGCCTTCTCCAAGCTGGAGATAGATGTTACATCGACAACATATGCTTTTGCTTTGACCCCGTTCGCAGAAGACAGTTGCTCAAAGGCAGATGGCTCCGGATCTATCAGGTCAAAAATGGCAACATCTGCCCCGGCCTCGGCGAGACCTTGCGCGAATGCCAATCCACAACCTCGGCCACCGCCAGTGACTACGGCAACCCGGCCTTTGAGCGAAAACTTCACCCATCAATATTGGCTAGGTCGAGATGGTACTGAGTTTCTGACATACCTTGGACATTTTAATATTATCAGATGGCTTTGCGGCTCACACAAGTTTCAGTAAGCAAATAAGACTGGATGTTCGTAAGGATTCCAATAATGTTGCCAAAGTCGAGATAGGGTCTAGGCATGCGAGAAAGTGAAATGAGATTGCATATCGGTATTGACAACTACACTTGCAACGAGCTTGGAATATTCATAGCTTCAGTGCCGTTCTGGTGACACTATCGGCGAATTACTTAAGACGGCGGTTGTTCCCGTTCCACAAGTATCACTGCACTGCTAGTTTGCCGAGTGTTCAACCCGATTGCAAATTCAACCCCCATTCTAGCGCCTAGCATCGGCGCAGGTATGTAGACGCTTTCAACGGGCTGTCATACCCCATCCTTCCTTATGCTTCAATAGTTGATGCATTGAAACACGCCAACATTCATTCCCCATGCGTCGAATCATGCTTGCAATCTGGAGTTTCAATGCAGCTGGCCATCTCTATCTTATCTTTGCTGCGAGATACGGAAAGTTGCTTGGTTCTGAGGAATGGGGACATTCAAAAGTGGAAAATGGAGAAGTCAAGGGTGGAAGTGGGGGCGGGGTCGATCAGTAGGACAACGACAGTGCAGAAGTGGAATGACCAACAACCATCGATGCCAAAGCAATGAAACTAGGAAAAGGGTGCAATAAGACGATTACGTGGTGGAGGCATCCGTACGTCTAAGATCTGCGGGACACACATTGGAGATCAAGAATGGGGAGATTCTAGACGATGCCGCGACGATAAGCGTAGATGCAGTTGAACTGACGGGGAACTGGCAAGTTAGCGTAGAGACCTTTTCTACCTGCGGAGAAGCTTCCACGAGCTTGAGTTTTGGTGCCTCCGAGTTGGTCTGGATATCAAAGTAACGACAGGTGGTGCTTCATGGGATGGCTTGAGTGATACAGACTGAAAAAGCTCTTAGCATAAAGTCTACCTTCAATCACAAAGTGTTTAGGTGGTACACAGACAAACTCACCACCACTTCCACTTACTCAATTTTATATCAGCACAATCTTCTATCAATAACAATGGGGAAGAAGAAGGTTCTCGTCTGGTAAGTGGTTCTTGGAACAAAACGCGGCATTTCTGTCACGTATGCATGCGTACTCACATGGCCATTGCCGTAGCTACGGTGTGGATATCGACGCCGTTGCCGGCTGGCTCGGGTCATATGGTGGTGAAGACAGTACTAGTGATATCAGTCGAGGTTAGTGGTACTCGTGGAGAGTCTTAGCCGTCTCAACAGCTGCTGGAATGTACACCGCTAACCTGGCGGAGTTTGAACAGGTCTATGGGCTGGGACCATTGGCACCCGTCGACTCTTGAAGCTGTTTGAAAAGTACAACATCAAAGCGTCTTGGTTCATCCCTGGCCACTCTTTGGAAACGTTCCCAGAAGAATGCGCCATGGTGCGGGATGCAGGCCACGAGATCGGCCTGCACGGGTATAGCCACGAGAACCCTGTCGACATGACGCTAGAGCAGCAGCGCGACGTTCTGGACAAGACGTGGAAGATGCTGACAGAGTTCTGCGGCAAGCCGCCCAAGGGCAGCGTTGCCCCGTGGTGGGAGACGAGCGAAGAAGGTACTGAGCTGATGCTGAGCTACGGTATCGAGTATGATCACTCCATGTCGCACCACGACTGCCAAGCATATTGGTTGAGGACAGGTGACAGCTGGACCAAGATCGATTATACCAAAAAGGCAGAGGAGTGGATGAAGCCTTTGGTAAAGGGCAAAGAGACGGGGTTAGTCGAGATTCCCGGATCTTGGTACATTGATGACCTTCCACCGATGATGTTTATGAAGAACTCTGCAAACTCACACGGTTGGGTGAACCCGAGGTAAGTCTTTGAGTTACATTCATGTGGATTATGAGGGCGCTGGCTGATCTTGCCTTCCAACAGGGATGTTGAAGACATCTGGCGAGACCACTTCGACTACTTTTACCGAGAGTATGGTAAGTTGAGGGACCCCCCTGTTAGACGAATAAGGCTTTGTGGACTAATCCTTGTTCAAAGATGAGTTCATCTTCCCTATGACCATCCATCCCGATGTTTCGGGTCGGCCTCACGTGCTACTCATGCACGAGCGGATCATTGAGCACATCAACAAGCACGAAGGCGTTGAGTGGGTGACCATGGGAGAGGTAGGTTCCACCCCCACTCTTTATAATGTATGAGTGTATGCTGATGCTCATGTGCCAATAGATGAGCGACTATTTCAAGTCCAAGAACCCTGCGCCTGAAGGTGGCTTGATGCCTGCCACCCAGGAAGAGGTTATGAAGAAGTACGAGGAATGGAAGAAGACACAATCATAGATTTACGTAGCCTCACGAGTACCAAGCTTTAACCTGTCAAGTCATTACCAAACTGCTTCTTCGAGGATGATATGCAATATGATAAAACTTTTAATGACCCGCATTCGGAAGTATCAAGTCCACTTTCCTGGTCCCAGCGCATTGGCTTGACCGCTGATTAAATTTTGACTCTTTAAATGGACTAGTCACCTGGCAGGCACCTGATATGACATGGGAAGACTCTGCTGAAACTAAGGCACAGATTCTCAGGCCTATGTATGATTGTTCGTTGCCCATGGCGATGCCTGTCGGTCAAGTAGTCTGCATGAGTCTAGAACCCGTGTGTGTTGAGCTTTCAGATTCACCTACTAAGTATTACCCGATTCAAACGTACAGGATTCCTGAATCACGTTGAAACTTGAAGTCCCTACTTTAATGCCAATATGCAATCTAGCTCTTATCCTTGAGGATGTCATCGATGATCTTCCCAGCTGCAAGCACCATCTCCTCCTCCAACTTGCGACCAACGATCTGAAGTCCTACGGGCAAACCAAGAGATGCCATCGTCTCCTTGTTATCCTCCCACAACTTCCTGTTCCACTCGTCCTCAACTCCCCTCACTTCCTCCGCCCATGGCTGATTGACGTCCTCCTCACTCACCCGGCCTCCAGGAACGACCAGAGCAGGGTAATCGAGGAAATTCCACACCTTGGTGTAGCCCACCCATCGACAACCCCCATGTGGCACAGCTGAATGTGGCATAGGTGGCAGCAGTAGGATATCAATCATGCGACCAGTCTTGGGCGAGCGGATGGATTGCCACTTTTCTAGGTATGCCTGCTGCAACTCCCACTTGCGTCTGTTAAGCTGCCAGTAGTCGTACACTGAAATCGGCTTTCCCCGGTTAAGAAGCTTCTCGACGTGCGGGATGAAGGGCTCTCCACCAGCCAAAACGTCTTTGCGAATATCTTCGCCGCCGTCAACCGTGTAAAAGAGGTCCTTGAAACGACGGTCAAAAGGTTTCGCGGAAGTCAGATTGGGTTTCATTTACCATTATTCTTATGCAGTCTTCGTGCAAATTTGCATTCCACTCCAAGACCTCGTGGCCCGCTGCTTGCAGGCGCTCTACAGCGGAACGGAGAACCCGTGTTAATGGCGGGTGGGGTTGAACAACATTGTCATCATAGAGAACTCCAATAGTCAAAGGCCTGGAGCAAGTCTCCTTGTATAAGTCCTCTCGCCACGGAACCGGTGCACAGCGAGCGTCGAGGTCCCAGGGCTTGGCGTTGATCAGCTGCTCCATGGCGAGGCGGATTGTGGACAAGCTGCGGGCCATGGGGCCTATTGACGAAGGCACATGTTCTTGCCCTTCGGTTGATACTGGAACTCCACGATAGGGCAGGCGTCCGCTCTGAACAGGATGTCAGTGATGCTCCATACTTGGTCAATTCTCGCGTGAAGCCAAGTGAGTTCCGAGGTTGCCAGTAATCAGACTCACGCTAGGCTTGAAGCCGTACGTTCCCATCATGTGAGACGGAATACGAATGCTTCCTCCAATATCAGTCCCCCAACCAAGCATACTTGCACCGGAAGCAAGCAAGGCTGCCTCGCCCCCGGTTGACCCACCCGGGGTATAATCCTTGCTCCTGGGGTTGGTGGTCAGGCCCCAAAGAGGGTTGTCCGTCTCACACCACTGTCACGATGTGAGCTTCATTTCATTTTACCAAAGCAGAGACACTCGTAGTCAGAGAGAGTAAGGACATGTCCAACTACTTACCATGATGCTCTGTGGCAAATTTGTTTTCGCAATGACGATGGCGCCCAGAGATTGAAGCATCTTGACGACAACGGCATCGTCTGCGGCAGGTTTGAAGGACCGGCCAACGTATCCAAGAGTTGTGTCGTATCCTTTGACATTGAATTGGTCCTTGAGAGTGACTGGCACACCATGCAAGGGCCCAACGGTCTTCTCGTGTTCGGTGAAGTAGGCATCCAACTCCTTAGCCCGCTTCAGGGCATCATCAAACACGATTTCCGTCAAACTACATTGACGCGCAACAGATATTAGCGTACTTGAAGAAGAAAGGCGAATAATATTTGCCGAAGCAAAAGGTCCGCCCAAGTTCAAAATCTCGAAACGTACCAGTTCGTCTTTTAAGACATGTTTGAGTTAGCACAGACTTCGTCACTTTCGGATGAGAGCCATACCTTGTTGTGCACCTCAGAAGCCCTGTTAATATTTGAAGACTCATCAGTATCAATTTCCACGATAGATGCACGGAAAGGGAAGAGGCTCTGCAATTGCAGGCGCGTGTTGGTTGCTTATCCACATACTTCCGAATGTAGGCCTTCACAATGTCTTCGCTCGTCACCTCACCACGTGAGATTTTCGAGACAAGTTGGGAGGCTTCAGCTATAGCCGTGATCCCAAGATCTTTCGGATCGTTCGTTGAGCCTCCAACGGATGCTGAGATAACTTCAGCCCGAAGCTGTCTCTTCTTAGATACGACATCTTGCCAAGCTTGTGCCGGCTCAGGGATCGTGATTTGCGTCATTGTTTGTGCCTGTTTCAAACTTCCTTGAACTACGTTCTCGTCACTTCGCAGTATGTCTCTCAATATCTTCATTCTTTGGCCGAGTCGCCAAATACCGCAAAGCTGTTGTCACGATGGTGCCAAACACTAAACCGAAGCGGGCCCGGCTTGCCGACGATGTTCGGGATGCCGATCTTCGGAGCATAAGCCACTTGATTGGCGGAATCGTCGTCCGACTCCGCCCTCGCTCGGGATGTCTCCATCGGCCACTTGGGCTTATCAGTGGAGCTTCGCATGTTGGATAGCCCGCGATTGCTTTGGTATGTTTCCCCGCGGATTGCTCCACTGACCCCGCGACTTGGTTTGTGCGGCGAACACACAAGTTCGTAAGTGGGGGATCGAGAGGGGTTCCGATAGGGAACATGAAGCTATAGCTAGGAGAGTGGGTGGAATTGGAGTCAATGGTGCTAGGTTTGTTCATCAGTCAGCAGTTAGGAAAGAGCTGGCTTCCTCTGCATTGAATGATGGGGGATGTTAATTTGCATCGACATCGGCCGAAGATCGAACCACCCTGGATGATGAGATGATTCGTTTTTGAGGCGAGGATAAGGCAAGACTGAGTACCTTTATACAGTCTCATTCGGTTCAAACGAATAATCACGTAGGTAGTGAGAGCATCATACGGGATCCAACCATATCTACACAAGAAAACGTCCGTTCTTCAAAGACTTCCATAGACACCACAGCCACACAACGACTTCGGGTCGGCAATCGAAGCAAACATGACAACAAGCTCATCAACTCCTGTGAGCTCACAAACCAATGGCCACACAAACGGCTCGCACCAAAATGGCCACACGTCCAAAACCGATGTCTGCGTCGTCGGAGCCGGACCAGCCGGCTTAATGCTCGGGTTTGTGCCCCACTCCATCCGATATCCGCTCCGCACGCCCGGCCAGCTTCTCCGTGCTAACATGCCAACACAGATCTCTCATGGCGAGATTCGGCCAAAAGGTCCAAGTCATTGACGAAAGGCCAGATCAGACTACAGTAGGCCGTGCGGATGGAATTCAGCCAAAGTCGATTGAGACGCTGCAGATGCTGCGCCTCGGCGACGAGCTATTCCGCACCGGTGTTAAGGTCCACGACATCTGCATGTGGCAGAGCTCCAGTGATTCTGACCTGCACCGGTTGAGTCGCTCGATTCACTACCCTCCATCTGTTGTGGATCTCTTGCAACCCTACATCTTGTTGTGTCACCAGGGCATGATTGAAGGTGTCTTTATTGATGACCTTCGCAAGAGCGGCGTCGAAGTGAAACGTAGTCACAGCTTCCAGGCTTACAGCACTTTGGACGATGGCTCATTGAGCATTGAATGTGATCGGCAAGGGGAAGGAAAGACATCCATCAACTCGGAGTTCCTTGTGGGATGTGACGGCGCTCGATCTCTCGTTCGAAAGAGCATCCCCGACACATTCGCCCAAGGTTCACCGCATGCTTCAGTATGGGGTGTCCTCGATGGAGAACTAGAGACCGACTTCCCCGACCTCTGGAGCAAGACGGTAGTCTTTTCTGAGAAGTACGGCTCCATCCTCATCATCCCCCGCGAACGCAACATGACGCGCTTCTACATCGAAATGAAATCGTCAACATCCTCGAAAGACCTGGGAGAAGAATATGTGATGGAACAAGCCCGCCTGATCCTCTCGCCCTACAACGTCAAATGGCGTTCCGTAGAATGGTTCGGCAACTACCAAGTCGCCCAGCGCGTCGCCGCCCGCTTCTCAGACCCGGCCCAGCGCGCCTTCATCGCCGGCGACGCCAGCCACACGCACAGTCCCAAAGCGGCGCAGGGCATGAACACGAGCATCCACGACACCTGGAACCTCGGGTGGAAGCTTAACCTCGCGCTGCGCGGGCTCGCCAAGGGCGACGTATTGCTTGCGACGTACGAGCAGGAGCGCAAGAAGATTGCGCACGATCTCATCAACTTCGACTTTGAGCACGCCAACGAGATCGCTCGCGGAGACGCGAAGCGGTTGGCAGACAACTTCAAGACGAACACGCGCTTCATTTCGGGCGTCGGGGTCGAGTATGGCGAGAACGAGCTCAACCGGGATCGGGATGACGGCGTCAAGGGTGCCGCGAAGCCGGGATGTAATCTCCCGCCTGCAAAGGCTACCCGTTATATCGATGCTTGCCCTATCGATGTGCAGCTCGATATTCCGGTTCTGAGCCAGTTCCGCATCTACGCCGTCTTGAACGACGTCTCTAGCGCTGCGGGTGTCTCTTTTCTGCGTGACTTCAGCACCGGCGTCGCATCTGCATCTTCATTGGTGTCGAGACTTTCCGCAGCGGCGGCGCAGTCGTACAAGGTGAAGCCACGCGCCAGTCGGATGGACGATATTCATGTACGCCCTGAGAGATATACATCCGTCAGTCAATTGTGCACATTTGCGCTCATCAGTAAGTTGATTCCCATCCTCTTTCGGTGTCCTTTACCAGTTCTCCACGTCGGAGGAGGCTCCGCGCCCTCCACGTAGCCAATGAAGTGTCGCTGCTGACTCTGTGTTCCAGCATCTACGGAAAAGGAGAACTTTGAAATCTCCTCGCTTCCTCCCGTATTCTCACAGAGTGCCTGGACCATCTACCTCGACGATGTAGCACCTCTGGATACACAGGGACGCTCCTGTACAGACAAGTGGCTTGGGGGTCTCGGGACGGACGAGGCTTCCCTCATCGTCGTTCGACCGGACGGCTACGTGGGTGCCATCGGCCGCTGGCAGGCAAGCGAAAGCGGCACCGGTGGGATGGCGGCGCAATGGCTGGATGACTACTTCGGCGGTTTCTTACAAGCGCCGGACACTTATTAAATCGCGCTTCATGCGGTGCGACTTCATGGCAGAGCGGTGTGGGCAAACGAGAAGCAGTATGTATGTACATGTAGCATCAGCTGGTCCTACAGTGAGACCGGTCGATCTGAGTTAATTAACCCGTTGAAAGGACTGGGCGTACACGTGTGACGTATGTACTTTAAAATATCAGACTGATAGTGAGCTACAGGTAATTCAGGCGAGACATGGCCCAAGACCCATGTAGACTGTTATGTTAGCTCAACAAGCATGAGTCGTCTTTGCGGCTATTACTACAAAGTACATCGTTTATTCTGGCCTCAAAATGAAATAGGCGCAATTGACAAAGTCCCATGTTGTTTTCTCTTATGTCATTAGTCCCTCGAATTTGCAGAAATTTCCTCTGCAGACATTTTAATATGGGTTTCTTCAGAATTGCGTGCCCATCCCCGGACCACAGCCAACCCGCATCTATGAAATCATCACTCGCACGCTATGCAGTGCGGGAGGGTTTGTCGAATCGTTTTTCCTTGTTTTCTGAACTCTAAACGCGGGCTTGACGCGGTGCGTGGTAGTCTTGATTGGCAGAGCCCATGTCGGACATCCTAGCCGAAATGGAGTCAATGTCAGTTTTGGAACAGGCCGTGCATGCCAAAGTGGGGGTGGGGACCCGTAATCTCTGGGATAAATCCCTGGTACAAGTCTCTCTCTCTCTCGTCCCGTGAGGAAATAGACGAATAGAGCTCTTCGGATTGGGGCGATACACACACCGTCGGTGACGGGTGAAAGGGAAGAGATAGAGAGCCCACGCCCTTGCGGCATCTTTAGATAGATACCCATACTCCGTACCGGCCGTGAGCGAGTGATAGCACGGCAATCATCTCCATATCCCCATTTTGAGGCTGAGGTGAGAGACAGTTTCTCCCCGGTGCGAAATCAGGACCCTTGATTTGTCCTTCACCCCAGAGAAAGATACCCCTGGCGCTACATGTACGGGGACGCTCGTTATGCCAGCTGTGGAGTGTGAGCAAGTACAACGTGTTGGCTGATATCCATTCGACCTTGCGACCTTGGCTGCCAGTACCTTGTCAGATTGGCCCTCTCATGTCAGGCAGACAGCTCGTCCCTTGGTGTTCCTGGATTGAATAAAGCTGAGGGACTAGGCGCCCTACGAGGCTCTTTTCATTCGAGGATCCGAAAGAAGTCAGGTCCCGGCTTTCTTCGTCTTTCTTTCGTGAGAGAAAAGGGCCCAAGTCAGAAGCTGTTCATCGTCTTCTCTTTCTTTTCCCCAGTCATTCATCCTGTCCCCCCTCGCGAATCGACCAGGCTATTTCCATCATGTCTGCTCCGAGCGAGAAGAGTGTCACAAAGGATGCGACGGAGTCGGGCTTGAGGCAGACGGCCTCCGGGTCCGTCATCCAGGGAGATGCAAGTTCCGTCGGCGACTCGGTCCTCCGTGATTTCTACACGGGCGCCGTGAACGAGAACTACCGTCTCAAGTCGGAGCTTATCGCAAAGCACTTGGGCGAGATTGGCATGGGAAAGTACGTTTGAAATTCCTCTCCCTCGCTTCCAGGCTTCATACTCCCGGGGCAAGGTGCATGGAAAGCTGATCATTTTTTTCCTCTCTTTCTCAGGTTTCAATGGATTCTCTTCGTCGTCAATGGCTTTGGCTGGATTGTCGACAACTTTTGGTCTCAGGGAATCACAGCAATCCGACCACCGATCGGCAACGAGTTCACCGACATTGCGAAATTGAGCTTCAGCTCCGTAGCGTACTACGTCGGACTGATCGTCGGCGCCTCCTTCTGGGGCACCACCGCCGATCTCATCGGTCGCAAGCCCGCCTTCAACGCCACGATCCTCTACGGCGGCGTCTTTGCATGCGCTGTGGCCGGCGTCCAAAACTTTACGGGATTTTGCGTCCTCTGGGCTATTATCGGCACGGCGGCGGGCGGCAACGTCCCCGTTGACAGCGTCGTGTTTCTGGAGTTTGTTCCTCAGACCCACCAGTGGCTGCTCGTCAGCTTGTCTGGATGGTGGAATTTGGGACAGGTTATTGTGTCGCTTCTGGCGTGGGTTTTCCTGGCCAACTTTGCCTGCGACTCTACGGAAGCTCCTTGCCGCATGCAAGATAACATGGGCTGGCGCTACCTCATGATCACGCTCGGTGGTATCGCCATTGCCTTTGGTCTGATCCGTATCGTGGCTTTCAAGATCCCCGAATCACCCAAATTCCTCATCTCCAAGGGTCGCGATGCTGAGGCCGTCGAAGCCGTAAACTACATTGCACGCTACAACAAGCGACCGGAAACTCTCACCCTCGAAATGCTGCAAGCCATTGACAGGCAGTGCGCCGGTATCTCAGAGTCAGACGCTGGTAGTATTGCCCCCGCCGCTGCGGCGGTCGATCCTGACATGGCGCCCCGAGGCTCCAAGCTATCCCACATGGAGATCCTCAAGGAAAGCTTCAGGGACTACAACGCCGATAACTACAAGAAATTGTTTGCCGGGCGCAAGATGGCGCAGCACACGTCCGTCACGTTCCTCATCTGGCTGACCGTTGGTGTCGCGTACCCGCTCTACTTTGCCTTCATCCCATCCTACCTCGCGACCAAGTCAACCTACTCTGCCAACACCTCGCTCAACCACACCTACATGATTTATTGCATTGTTTCCGCGGCTGGTGTTCTTGGACCCATCGCGGCTGGCTTCTGCGTTGAGACACGCTTTGGCCGTCGTTGGATGATGGCCGCATCTGCGGTCCTGACTGGAGTTTTCCTGTTCGCTTACACGGCTGTGGGCACGGAAGCAGCGGATATCGGGTTTCAATGCGCAACGGGAATTCTGGGAAACTTTGGTAAGTTGGTCCTCACATTTGCTGATCATACAAGTGCAATTGCTAACCAATATTTGCAGAGTACGCCGTCATGTATGCCTTCACGCCCGAGTCTTTCCCTGGCCCAGTTCGCGGAACAGGCACTGGCATTGCCGCTACTCTTCTTCGCGTCGGTGGCCTTGCGGCTTCGTTTGTGTCAACGTATGCGGGATACACTGTTGTGCCGATCTATGCCAGTGCTGCATTGTGGATTGTGGTGGGCTTGTTTTGCATCGGGTTGCCTTATGAGACTCACGGGCACGCTTCTCTCTAGATATTGCGTTCAAATGGCAAATGTTGAACCGGGCTCCTGGCTAGAAGCCTTTATGCAGAGCTGCACGATAATGAGAACATCAATTTCCTCGCCGAGCCTGTAATCACAAGCGATGCAATGTGTGAATCTGTCGAGAACACGAGTGATACTACGCCGATGTGCATAATTGCTTCTGCATTGCTTAAGGCGCAGGTGCCAGGGCATCGTTGGCTTTGCTACAAATGTCTGAGGTACATATCTTATGCAGGAGCTTGTGAAGTTGAAATTCTACAACTACGATGTAGATTATACTTCATTTCCGTATGCACAGAGTTTTGGTCTCTAAGAGTTGAAAAGGTTGATGGGACTGTGTTAGGCGTAACCACCATGCAGTTTTTGGACGAGAACTCGCTTACGTCAAACACGGTCATCCTGCTGAAAAGTTCAGATCGCCATACTTGAACTTCTTGCCAATATCACCTAAGTGGTTGGTGTTGAGTCATCGAAGCTACTCTCAATCTTCTCTTATCGCAACAATCTATTACCAAAACGGTGACTTGAAGACGTTTGTTATCGTCCCCCTATTCCTATGAGTCTATGAGATGACAGCCCCACGAGAGCTTTCCCCATGTTTATCTGCCTCGCTGCGAACATGTGGGGGCAAAGGCGCGGTCTCCCGTACTCCCGAGTTCCCCGTGTCTAGACTGCACTGGGCCATGGTTTGCCGAATGTAACACACCGGGGGGATAACACCACCAATAATTAGGAGTGGACTGATGGCTATGCTCTTTAGAATAACATACAGATACGTATAGATACGGCAAGTCAAGGTTTCCGACTGAACGCGTTCAGTGTAAGTGCACCCCCACTTCCGAGATATCCCACTCACCCCAACCCGACCCAGGAAGCCCTCCCCACTTTCCACTCTTGCACGGGAATGGGGGCATCTTGAGGCACTCGCAACGATGCATCGCCATGACGATCACGAGTACCACGGCAGAATGTACTTTCAGGGTCACAGAATAGTGGCTTTGCAATTGTGGTTCCGGGCTCCAGATGACATGTTCAAAACCTGCCACATTCAACGACGCTGAATGGGCTTTTTGGTGCTCAACATACCTCAACATACCCCCCCTTCCTATCAAGACCCCAATTCGATACTAGGTCTTGACCATCTTTCCTGAATAGCCTCACACCATGCCCAAAGCAACCACTCCTCCCCCGGCTTTTGCCGCTCTGAAGGACACAGTGCTATTCACCCCCCTGAAGTTGGGTGGCATCAGCCTCAAGCACCGCATCGTGCAAGTAAGTTCATCAAGCCAACCAAAACAAGACGATGATTATATGCTTACATACTTGACAGGCACCCACAACTCGCATGAGAAGCGAGTTCGAGTCTCGCGGCGTCCACGTCCCAGGCGCCCGTGTAGCAAAGTACTACGGCGAGCGAGCCAGTGCGGGAGGTCTCCAAATCACCGAGGCCACCGACATCTGCCTCAATGCCAGCGCATACCCCGGTGTCGCAGGTGTCTTCACCGACTCTCAGCTGCAAGGATGGCGCAAGGTGACTGATGCCGTCCATTCCAAGGGCGGCTTCATCTTTGTTCAGCTCTGGCACACGGGTAGAGCCTCTTCCGCTGGAATGCGTGGAGGCGAAACGCCCATCTCTTCGGGAACCCAGCCTATGGATGGTAACTACCTCGATGGAACTGCGTGCAAGGACGGTCCTCCTAGACCCATGACTATTGAAGAGATCCACGGCCTGACAGCGGAGTGGGCTGCGGCTTCCAAGCGCGCGGTTGAGGTTGCTGGATTTGATGGCGTTGAGATCCATGGTGAGGACACATCACGCACTTTGCATGCTCAAGACAGGTAGGCTAACATTGAAATAGGGGCTAACGGCTACCTACTTGAGCAATTTCTCCACGATAACATCAACACTCGCACAGATGAGTATGGTGGATCGATAGAGAACCGCTCAAAGTTCCTTTTCGAAGTCTTGTCAGCCGTCAGTGCCGCCATTGGCCCCGAGAAGGTCGGTGTCCGCCTTTCGCCGTACAACTACTTCCAAGGCACAAGAGACAGCAACCCCAACAAGCACTGGTCATTCATTAGCCAAAAGATTGCAGAGATGACAGAGACTGAGAGGCCCGCCTATGTACACATGTAAGACAATATGCCTTTCAGTAACTCCTTCAAACGGGAACAACTGCTAATCCCCGAT